AAATACATAGCTTATACCTACCCCACACATCCCTACGATTTGACAAAATCATATGGGCCATTACAACTGAGGGAAAGTTTTCGGCTAAATCCAGTTACCAATCGATTAGCCCCACTACACCTTCACCCCTTTACATGGATTTGGAAACTCTAGCTTCCACCAAAAATATTATATTTTATTTGGATATGCTATCATGACTGACTACCAACAAACAATTATCTTGCAAACCTCTCCATTATTAACTCACACATTTGCCCCATTTGCCACTCGGCACCAGAAACCCCACAACACATCTTCCTTCAATGTCATAAATCCAACCAACTATGGTCACAACTAAACATCTGAACCACCATCCAAAATTTCTTGGTCAACAACCACAATAAAACCCACTGGGTATATCACTTCCTCAAATTGCCTTTTGATGCATGCCCTACAAATATCCCACCTGAAACTTTCTTCTCCTTTTGCCTTTGGCAAATCTGGATAACTCGAAACCAATATGTTTTTGAAAATAAAAACATACCAATCAGCCTCGTACTTGTAATATCAAAGGCCTCGAAATACTATTTCCTTACAAACAACTGTCTCCAATCGCCTAAACAATTCCCACTCCACATTAAATGGCATCCCCCACCACATGATCATTATAAGTTAAATATAGATGGCTCATTTACATCTAACAAGCAGGGTATTGGAGGTGTCTTTCGCATCTCCGTGGAGACTTGGAGTTTAGGCTTCTCCAAACACATATTGGCAACCTCTATTGTAGAGGTCGAACTGCATGCACTTATGCTAGGTCTCTAAATAGCAAAATAATATGACCTACTGCCACTCCTCATAGAAGTGGATGCAAACGAGGTACTATCTTTCCTTAAGAATGACCACCCTTTGCTCACTAATCTCCTTGGTGATTGCAGGTCATTTAACAACTGGATGATCCTCTCATCCAACACATATACAGGAAGCAAAATTATGTAGCAGACAACTTAGCCAATTATGGAGCACGCATGCCACCCGGAAGCAGCTTAGAGCTTTTTGATGCACCCCCACCTTTTTTCACCACTATCTACCAAGTTGACTATGCCGGAGCGACTTACGAAAATTTTGTCAACGCCCATGTTTTTGATAGTCACAACTCCCCTCCCCTCCTTTGTACATCCACCACAGGCACTCGCTCCCCCTAATAGAATAGGTACTACTTTTTGTTGTAATACACCCGTACTGGGTGTTGATAACAATCCTTGTATTAGCAACTACGTAACTCGAGTGCAAACTGCGCACCCCACTCCCTGTACCTCTTTACCTACTTAATGAAAAAACATCTCCTTTGATGACAAAAAAAATACTAACTTAAAAGAAAATGGCTATATATCATTGTGAAAGTCAACCCATTGTTAAGGGGAATTTTAGTATTATTCATTAATTTAAAATCATAGAAGATTTTTTTAATTCTTAATTAGCCAAATAATTTTTGACATAGGATAATAAGAAATTGAATTAGCACAAAGTATATAAAATAATACCTAAATCACGAAATGAAACTAAACCTCAAAATAGTAGTGGAAATGGTTTACCTTCATGCTAATATCATGTTATAAAATAATAGAAAATAAAGTGAAACAAGAGAAATTTGGAGAGAGAAAATACTAGATCTTTTCTTGGTAATCTTGCAAATGGTAAGAGAACCTTTCTATTTATAAGAAGAAAATATTTGGTCACAAAGTAATTAGTTAGATTCTAACTAAATTAGTCCTATAATAATTAGGTTGTCTTCTATTTGCATTAGTCTTCAACCAAACTTGCTCTCCAAGTATAATATAATACATATTTTATAATACATGAATATTTACTCTTAATATTATTTACAATAATGATCAGGTAAATTTAGTTTAGTAAAATAAAAATAAGTCAAATACTTACAGCATAGATAACTAAAGGTCAAATGTCTTTGACACTATTCTTCCCTTCTAAGCAATAAAAAAAGTTAAATGCTAGTATTAGAAGTATGAAAAAATGCACTAATATCCCTTTTGTTATAAAATAAAGACTGTAAAGTAAAGACAAGTATAGAGAGAGAATGATATATTAATCAACTTCAAACTGATGTACATAATGAACTGAAATCTCCTCTATTTATAGAAGAAAGGAAGTTGTTGTGTAAGCTGCTACTGCAAGCTGCTGCGTAAGCTGCTACTGTACCAGGTATGGATAACCTTCTACCGGGGGTAATGTTTATCCATAACAAAGTACTGAAAGGATAAGCTTATTGTACCAGGTATGGATAATCTTCACAGGTGGTAATGTTTGTTCATAACGAAGTACCGAAAGGATAAGCTTATTGTACCAGATATGGATAATCTTCTATCGGGGGTAATGTTTATCCATAACGGAGTACAGAAGTGATAAGCTTCTTCTGGAGGCTTATTTCTAATAGAGTACTAAATAGATAAACATATTTACGGCGGAGTCCCATATGGATGAGCTTCTTCAGGAAGCTTATTTACAATGGAGTACTAAATGAACATCCATAATATAATATATTTATAACACTCCTCCTTGGATGTTCATTAAAAGATAATGTGCCTCATTCAAACCTTACTAGAAAATACCCTGTGGGAAAAAATCCTAGTGAAGGAAAAAGAGTACACATATTTAGTAATACGCATAACTAGTTGTCTCATTAAAAATCTTATAAGAAAAACCCTGTGGGAAAAACCTTAGTAAGAAAAAAAGAGTATAGCCCGTATTTTACTCCCCCTGATAAAAACTTTGTTTCAAATATTTGAGTCTCCACATTCCAATATTGTATACCATCTTCTCAAAAGTTGAAGTTGGCAAAGATTTAGTAAATAAATCTATTGGATTGTCACTTGAACGGATTTGTTGCACATCAATGTCACCATTTTTCTGAAGAACATATGTGTAGAATAATTTTGGTGACTATCTCCTTTTATAAGTGCTCCCTTTAATTGGGTTATGCATGCAACATTGTTTTTATATAAAAGTGGATCTTTTATCACATTCCAAACCACATTTTCCTTGAATAAAATGAATCACTGATCTCAACCATACGCATTCCCTACTTGCTTCATGAATAGCTATTATTTCAGCATGATTTGAAGAAGTAGCAACAGTAGATTGCTTTGTGGAGCGCCTTGATATGACAATACCTCCATATGTAAACACATACCGGTTTGAGATCAAGCTTTATGTGGATCATATAAATAATTCTGCATCTGTATAACCAACAAGATCTGCACTACCTTTGTTAGCATAAAATAAACCCATATCAAGAGTTCCCTTTAAATATCGCATTATATGCTTAATGCCTTTCCAATGTCTCAGTAGGACAAGAGCTATATCGTGCTAGTAAATTAATAGAAAATGCTATGTCATGCCTTGTAGCATTAGCAAGATACATAAGTGCACCAAATGCACTAAGATAAGGTATTTCGGGACCAAGGAGTTCCTCGTCCTTTTCTAGAGGTAGGAACAGATCTTTATTCACTTCAAGTGATCGAACAATCATTGATGTACTTAATGGGTGCGCTTTGTCCATGTAAAAGGGTTTTAAGATCCTTTCTATATAGGCAGATTGATGGATAAAGATCCCGTCTGCTAAATGTTTAATTTGCAGACCAAGACAAAGTTTTGTCTTTCTAAGATCTTTCATCTCAAATTCTTTCTTAAGATATTCAATTGCCTTTTGGAGCTTTTCTGGAGTCCCAACAAGATTTATGTCATCAACTGCAATTATAACAAATTCTGATGCCATTTTCTTTATAAAAATACATGGACAAATAACATCATTTATGTAACCCTCTTACAGCAAATATACACTAAGGCAATTATACCATATGCGCCCAGATTGCTTTAAACCGTACAAAGATATTTGTAATCTGATTGAATATATTTCCTGAGATTTTGAATTTGCTTCAGGCATTTTAAATCCTTCAGGTATTTTCATATAAATTTCATTATCAAGCGAACGATACAGATAAGTTGTAACTACATCCATTAGATGTATTTCAAGCTTTTCATGTAGTGCTAAACTGATGAAATATCGAAATGTTATGGCATCCATAATAGGTGAATATGTTTCATCAAAATCGACTCCGGATCGTGGTGAGAACCCTTGTGCAACAAGGCGAGCTTTATATCTTTCAATTTCATTTTTATCATTCCTTTTTCGCACAAAAATCCATTTATGACCAACTGATTTTATACCAGAATACGTTTGGACTACTGGTCCAAAGACCTCTCTTTTAGAAAGTGCGTTCAATTATGATTGAATTGCCTCTTGGCAGTTTGGCCAATCAGATCTTTGTCGACAATCTTCGACAGACCGGGGTTCAAGATCCTCACTATCTTACATAATATTAAGTGCAACATTATATGCAAAAATATTATCCACCACTATTTTAGATCGATTTAAATTAATCCCATCACCGGTAGAACTTATTAAATTTCCTCACTCACTTGAGCCTCGGGTTCATTGATTTCTTCAGGAATCTCCGAACTAATTAGTTCTTGGGTCTCTTCAGGAGATCCCTTCGTAGTATCGTTTTGATCATTTGTCGATTTTCTTTTTCGAGGATTTCGATCCTTAAAACCCAAAGGCCTAGTTCACTAGCTCTCATGCTAGTTGATGGTCCTGCTGGCCCATATTATTACGATGCGATGGCATCATTATAAGATAACTTTGTCCAGAGTTTAAAATAATTACAACTTTGAAATCAATTCATTTATTTCTAGAAGAGAAACTCCGAATTTTTCAATAACTATACATACATTAATTCTATAATTTCTATGTTGTTAAAGCTATATACACAATATAGGAGCATAATGTTACCAAAGGAAAAATCTAAAAATGAAAATAAAAAATTTAGTTTTATTTTTTTGGTGATTATGAAAATTTGGCAAACGAGATTCTGAGATAGAGTTTGGTTTGTTTACAGCGGAACACGGCTGGGGTTTTGTAAATAAAGGGAGAAAACTTGAATTGCTTGGCCATTTTGGGGCCCACACTTCATTTATTAGTCCCTCACGCAATATTAGGTATCAAAATTTCTCGTCCTAAGTACTGTGTTTTCTGGGTAGCGATTTTGCGCATCAACAGCCATGGTTTTTATCAATCTTCCTGATAACAAAACCCTATCCCTAGACATTAATCCTTGTATAAGTTCGCTCCAAACCCTAACCCTCAAAATCCATGAAAATTTCCACATCCCAATCATTCAACAGCGTCTTTTTCTTTCCTGCCGGCGGTTACTGAACACCGAAGTACGGTTATCCGATCTAGGAATTTCCCCAAATTCGACTTTAACCCTACACGTCCCTCTTCTCGGAGGTATGCAAGCACCCGGGGCACCGAAAGCCCGACTCGATTTCCTAAACACAAGGCCGCCTCCGAATTATGTTGCTGGATTGGGCCGTGGTGCTACAGGTTTCACTACCCGTTCTGATATTGGGCCTGCCCGTGCTGCCCCTGACCTCCCAGATCGTTCAGCTGCTGCTGTTGGCGGCGCTGCACCGCCAGCTGGCGGCGTTGGCGTTGGCCGCGGCCGCGGCAAGGGTGGTGCCGGAGAGGAAGACGAAGAGGATGATAATGAGGAAAAGGGTTACGATGAGAACCAGAAATTCGATGAATTTGAAGGTAATGATGTAGGGTTATTTGCTTCTGCTGAGTATGATGAAGATGATAAAGAAGCTGATGCTATTTGGGAAGCTATTGATCAGAGAATGGATTCGAGGAGGAAAGATAGAAGAGAAGCTAGGTTAAAGGAAGAAATTGAGAAGTATCGAGCGTCTAACCCGAAGATTACTGAACAATTTGCTGATTTGAAGAGGAAATTGTATACATTGTCGAGTGACGAGTGGGATAGTATACCTGAAATTGGGGACTACTCGTTACGAAACAAGAAAAAGAGGTTTGAGAGTTTTGTGCCTGTTCCTGATACACTTTTGGAGAAGGCTAGGCAGGAGAAAGAGCATGTAAGTGCATTGGATCCGAGGAGCAGGATAGTTGGTGGCATGGAGACACCTTCAGCGCAGACGCCCGTTGCTGATTTGACTGCCGTGGGTGAAGGGAGAGGAACCGTGTTGTCGGTGAGGTTGGATAGGATTTTGGACTCGGTTACTGGACAAACTGTGGTGGATCCTAAGGGATACTTGACTGATTTGAAGAGCATGAAGATTACTAGCGATGCTGAGATTTCGGATATAAAGAAGGCTAGGTTGTTGCTTAAGTCGGTTACTCAGACAAATCCGAAGCATCCTCCTGGTTGGATAGCAGCTGCTAGACTGGAGGAGGTTGCAGGGAAGATGCAGGTAGCGAGGCAGTTGATAAAGAAAGGTTGTGAAGAGTGTCCTAAGAATGAGGATGTTTGGTTGGAGGCATGCCGTTTGGCGAGCCCCCTTGAGGCTAAGGCAGTGATTGCTCAAGGTGTTAAAGCAAATCCTAATTCAGTGAAATTGTGGATGCAGGCCTCAAAGTTGGAGGAAGATACAGCGAATAAGAGCCGTGTTTTGAGGAAAGGTCTAGAGCATATCCCTGATTCGGTGAGGTTGTGGAAAGCTGTTGTGGAGTTGGCTAATGAGGAAGATGCTAGACTTTTGCTTCAGAGGGCCGTAGAATGCTGTCCATTGCATGTGGAGCTGTGGCTTGCTCTTGCTAAGTTGGAAACTTATGAAAGCGCAAAGAAGGTGCTTAACAAGGCTAGAGAAAAACTTCCTAAAGAGCCTGCCATCTGGATCACCGCAGCTAGGCTGGAAGAAGCCAATGGGAATACTGCTTCTGTTGGGAAAATTATTGAAAGGGCAATCAGGGCTTTGCAAAGAGAAGGTTTGGAGATTGATAGGGAGGCTTGGATGAAGGAGGCTGAAGGATGCGAAAGAGCTGGTTCCCTTGGGACTTGCCAGGCAATAATAAATAACACTGTTGGGATTGGTGTTGAGGAAGAAGATAGGAAGAGGACCTGGGTTGCTGATGCTGAAGAGTGCAAGAAACGGGGTTCGATTGAAACAGCAAAATACATTTATGCACATGCTCTTACTGTATTTAGAACTAAGAAAAGCATCTGGCTTAAAGCAGCACAGCTCGAGAAAAGCCATGGTACCAGGGAATCACTTGATGCACTACTTCGAAAAGCAGTGACCTACATTCCAAAGGCCGAAGTTCTATGGTTGATGGGTGCCAAGGAGAAGTGGCTTGCTGGTGATGTTCCTGCAGCTCGAGCAATTCTGGAGGAAGCATTCGCTGCAATTCCTGATTCTGAGGAGATATGGCTTGCTGCTTTCAAGCTCGAGTTTGAGAACCGTGAGACAGAGAGGGCAAGGAAGCTTCTTGCTAAGGCACGTGAAAGGGGAGGCTTGGAACGAGTCTGGATGAAGTCAGCCATTGTGGAGAGAGAGCTTGGAAATGTGGATGAGGAGAGGAGATTGCTGGATGACGCATTGAGGCGCTTCCCCTCATTTTTCAAACTTTGGTTGATGTTGGGACAGTTGGAAGAGAGACTTGGTAATTCTGACAAGGCAAAGGATGCCTATGAGTCTGGCATTAAGAATTGTCCCAATTGTATACCCCTTTGGCTGTCCCTTGCGTCACTAGAGGAGAAGATGAATGGGCTGAGCAAAGCTCGAGCAGTTCTTACTATGGCCAGGAAGAAGAATCCTCAGAGCCCTGAGCTATGGCTTGCAGCTGTGCGGGCTGAAGCTAGGCATGGGTACAAAAGGGAAGCTGATGTTTTGATGGCTAAAGCATTGCAGGAGTGCCCCAATAGTGGCATTCTATGGGCTGCTTCAATTGAGATGGCACCTCGTCCTCAAAGAAAAACCAAAAGTTCTGATGCTTTAAAGAAGTGTGATCATGATCCGCATGTTATTGTTGCAGTGGCTAAGCTGTTTTGGCAGGAGAGGAAAGTAGACAAAGCAAGAAATTGGTTCAACAGGGCAGTGACCCTTGCACCAGATATTGGTGATTTCTGGGCATTGTACTTCAAATTTGAACAGCAGCATGGAACGGAGGAGCAGAGGAATGATGTGTTGAAGAGGTGTGTCGCCGCAGAGCCAAAGCATGGGGAAAAATGGCAAGCTACAGCCAAGGCCGTAGAGAACTCTCATGAACCAACAGAAAGCATATTGAAGAAGGTGGTAGCCACATTAAAGAAGGAGGAGAATTTGGCTGAACATAACCACAACTAATCAGCTGTAGTGTTTGAGTCTCTGTACTTGATAATCTTAGAGCAGACTTATAGGTTAGAGACAGTAGTTATAACATCCTTGTTTGAGTTGCTTCTAAGTATTGTATCTTGGTTGTGTTTCGCCTGATGTGAAGTTGATCTGAATGCTGCAATTTCCATTCCTCGTATTATTATAAGGTCAGCAGGGATGTTTCTCATATTGTTCTCAAGTTTATGTTTCTTGTTATATTTTATTTTAGAGACGAATGTTATGATTCCCTTTAAAAGGTTTAATCAATGTTCTATTTTCCTCTATTATCTCAATTCTCATATACCTTTTTCTTTCATACGCCTTTTTATGTTTTTATCAAAAATCTCATACACCTTTTTATGTAAGTTTCGTTTTTCACTTCATTCGTGGCATTTGAGTTAAGAAAGTTCAAGGCAAGTTTTAAAGTTATGCGTGGATGTGGACATACCTATTATATTTACATGTGTAGAGGGATGAGATGGAGTCAGCTTATCTCTTAACAAAACAGAAGAATCTCTTTTTTAGTACAACCATTTAATGGGTTAATTATGTCATGTACTGTTGTGATATGTTATTTATAATTATCAGAGACAGACAAAGAAGACATTTGGTCTCTATGCTTTTTGAGATGATACCATACCGTAGGAATGAGAGAACTTGCTAAGTTGACTGACTGGTAGCTTTCTGTTTTTTTTTTCTTTCTATGGACATTATTTCAGAAGTGATACCATTCTGGAAATTGAATTTTTTTTCACACTTTGCATTGTGTTACTTTCAGCGCCTGTAATGACCCACTTTCTGAATCGATGACCATTTAATTACCATGTGCAATTTTAGTTCTGACAATTACTTTTTTCATATTCTTTTGATATTCCTTCTCCTTAAATTTTCAAGTGGTAATGTCAAGCTTGCAGGAAATCGTTTTAGTCTGTGCTAAGAAGTACTTTTGAAGTTCTGGGCGTGCTCTATATTAGTTCATTATGTGATGATGGATTTACAAGATTCATTAATCAGAATCCTCTATTGGCTTACGGTAATGATGTCAGAATTTTATTTCTTTTGGTTGTCCGTGAACAAAGAAGGTATCAACAGTTATACTGTACAATTTGGTGTGGTACAAAGCTTAAGCTTGTGCTGGTGGCTCCTAAACCCCATCTTGCAATTGCATAGGCAGTCAAGGCAAAGTTAAGGATCACAATGAAAATTCATTCCAGAGATGATACTCTTAAGATGTGAATTTATCTACAAGGCGGACAGAAACTTGTTAAAGACTTCAGAGCTGTAGCATCTATTTCCTTGTGATGACCAAGAAACTTCCGACACATGGCTGCTATTCGAATAACCTGATATTTGATTGAAATCCTACTCCTTCCTCTCCATTTCATTTCCTGTTACCTATCATTGAACCTGACAATGGCACCTATGCATTGAGTGCTTTTGCTGAGACGGATTGAGTATGTGATTTTGAAAACTGCCGCAAACCTTTAATCTCTTTTCTTTCTGGAAAGTTTCTCAAGGTGTGACAGACTAGTCTTACAGATGTTGTCATAGAGTTTAAACCTTCAGTCTACTGTGGTAAAAGGGAATACTTGAGAAGACACTGATGATTTTACTCCTCTGAAGGACGTGTAAACATGAGGTAAGTTCTGCTGCATGAAAGACAAATCCAGGTTCTCCCAAAAATTTATTTACTTCTCATTATAGCTGACGAGAGAACTTCCCAATATGATGCTTCTATCGTTCCTCGCCTGAGTTTTTCATGGTAACTTGTGCACTTGTCTTCCACCCAGTTCTAAATCAGAGGTATAAACTCTCAAGTGTGTTTTCTTGTGCCCGATATTTTTTTTTTTTGATGAAGTAAGGAGAATTCATTAAAAGCATCCAGCGGATGCAGGCAAAAGATTACAATTAAGAGAGATGGTGTCTGCTCATATACACAAAAAAGCTATTCTATCACTAAGGAGCACACACAATCAAAAAATTGAACAGAACTAGTTACAGGTGCCTGATTTAGCCAACTAAACAAATTCAATAAGCATTTTGCTTTGACTACATGGATCGGAGTTGAGATCCCATCAAAACATCTACGGTTCCTTTCCTTCCAGATGCACCAAAAGATAGCAGCAGGTACCATTACCCAATTTTTTTTGATGGATTTACCAACTCTCCATGAACACCAACATTCATATGCTTCCTTGATGCTGTTAAGCTTGACCCAGGCTAGTCCAAAAATAGAGAGGAACATGTTCCAAATATCACATGCTAAAGGACAATGCAAAAAGAGATGACTAACACTTTCAGAATACAAATTGCACATGTAGCACCTATTCACCATTGGTATACTCCTTCTGCTTAGGTTGTCTTGAGTGAGGCATGCTTCATTTAAGGCAACCCAACTGAAACAAATCACTTTAGGAGGCAGTTTTGTTCTCCAAATTAGTTTCCATGGCCAATTGTTTATCAGATCATTGTTGGAGCATAGGTGTGCATATGCTTTCGTCACTGTAAATTTCCCGTCCCCCCATTCCAGTTTGTCCTTCAGCTGGGGTTTGACAGCAATCTGTGCCAGTTTGGCCAGCAATTCCATTAGGTCATCTATCTCCCAATCTTGAAAATGTCTCCTGAATTGAGGGTCCCAAGAGCTGTTCTGCCAACATTGTTCTACAGTGGATTCTTGATCTACTGCCAGTAGGTACAAATTTGGAAATTCATCTTTTAGTGCCATTGTTCCCAGCCACTTGTCTTTCCAAAACTTGATGAGTGTTCCACTTCCTAACTTGAGTTTTGAGTTAAGTTGGAACTCATCCCATAAACTAGATATGTGTTTCCATAGGCCTGTACCATGAGGTGATCTGCTATGTCTTGTGCACCAGTTGTTCCTCACACCATGTTTAGCATTAATCACCGATTTCCACAAACCAGGGTCCTCCAAATTATACCTCCAATGCCATTTCATTAGCATACTCTTATTATGTAATGCCAAATCTTTAACACCCAATCCTCCATGCTCCTTTGGTAAGATAACCTTTGGCCATTTAACCAAATGAAATTTGTGGCTTTGACTGTTGCCTTCCCATAAGAAGTTTCTTCTAATTTGATCTAGCCTCTTCTTCACTTTAACTGGAATTGGGAATAATGACATGAAATAGGTAGGAATACTATCCAACACACTGTTAATAAACGTTAATCTACCCCCCATAGAGAGGTATTGCATTTTCCAGGAGGCCAATCTTTTCTCAAACTTCTCAATAACCCCCCTCCAGATTTTTTGTGATTTGTATGATGCTCCCAACGGTAGGCCTAGGTATGTAGTGGGGAAGGATCCCACACTACAACACATTATATCAGATAGCTCCTCCAGACCAGGAACATCACTGACAGTAAAAATTGTGCTTTTTGACATGTTCATTTGTAAACCTGATATGGCTTCAAAATACTTGTGACCTCTCAGCCCCCGACATATTATCATAAACCTGAACACTAGTTGACTATTTAGCTAGTTCGCCTGAGAAATCTCATTTTCGTAATTATCCTTTCTATGTCTTGCAGCTTGAGCATCATGTTGAACCTTCCCAAATTGGTTTGTTATCAGCAGCTTCTTCAAAGTAACTTCTTTCTTTTTTATCCTCAAGCAGAAAGTGTTAGTTATTCATGTTTTCTGCAAAAGAATGGAAAAGGATAACTACTAGATACCTTCATAGGAAAGGGAACTAACTACCTTCATAGGAAAGGGGAACTACCAAACACAGGCTTAAATTGGTTTACTTTTGTTTCATCAATATTTGCTGACTACTCTTTGGACTTTGGTAACTTGGTGAACAACTAAAATGACTATAATCTTCTCAATAACCACGTTGTATTCCTGGTCTTACTTTTTCCTATATACTATGAGGAGCCAATTGTTTTCGTTTTCGGTTCTCTCTTAGTCTATGTGGTGCTATAAATCAATCAATCACAGCTGCACTGGAGTTCCACTACTTAATTGTACTAGATTTGATTACTAATTTGTCACGTATTGGATGAAGACCACAGAGTCCAATAGCTTTTTACCATTGGGTGTCCGTGCTGCATGCACAGGTATTATCAAGAGAACGGGTTGTGATGGGATGTCAACACCGTTTTTGCATGGAATGCATAGATAAATCAATGAGACTGAGGTATCTAATGCATAAAGTCAGTTTGTGATTCAACTAGTCGTTAGAGGCCAAGAATTATCTGAAAACTACTCCGGATTTTACTTGTAATTGCGCTTTTACAGGAATAATGAATACCCTGCTTGCCGCACACATATTGCTAGTCGCCGGTCATTGAGAGATTATCCTAGATTTGATACCTTAATTGAGGCAATATATCCAGATGTTGAGAAGTATGAAGAGGAGGGATTTTCTTAATTAATATTGTGCAACTTAATGAACACCCTCCCCCGCCTTTAAAATGGAAAAGAAGGGACACTACGGGAAAAAGAAGAAATACGAAACCACTAGAGGCCTCTATTCCTTTCCTCTTTTGATGAAACTTGTCTGCTACTTTCTGGAATATCTTGTTTCAGGAGCTTGTCTTTCTTGAAGAGGAACGGGCACTCAATGAGCAGGTCAGTTAAAGAAGCACCTAAAATCCTCATTCTGAATGGACGTATTTGTTTGCATGTTTTTAGTTCTTGTTTTCTGCCTGTCCTCTTTTGTTTACAGCGATGGTATATATATCTCAAAGAGTCAAAGTTGTTACTGGAACAGAACACACATATAGAGGTGATCTATGCATAGTCATTACAGGTCCATGCATGTTGAAGATAGTTGTTATGAATTAATAGCACATGTTAATCCAACTTTAAAAGGCTATGTTCTCCTTGTATTTGAGAATCTGAGAATCAAATGTAAGATTTTTTTACAATTGCTTGTGAAACACTTGTTCTCAGGTGTGATAATATGCCTATCCGATAGTCCAATTCACTTTAACGCATACTTAGTAGATTATAAATAACTGTGCACATAAACTGTTAATGCAATGGACATAGATATATATTTAACTTTTCTTTCATGATTGACACTTCACTATATGTTTTGGGGGCTACACATATAGACCTGATACATGCCTTGTGTTTTATTGGACAGATTGAAGCATCCGTTGCCCAAATTTCTCGACGCCAATCTGAAGCACTGATTAAGAGGCACAGACTTGGAAACGACACAGCTGCTCCCTCTGCACAAACAACATCTCGCAACTATCACAATCCTTATTCAAGAAGAAGGAGAAGCAGTCAGGGGACTGAACCTAAGCGATCCGATCCAAATGAGAGTGAAAATGATGATCATGACAAGAACAAAGATTCACCTCCCAAGGATNCACCACCACCACCCCAAAAAAAAAAGGAAAAAAAAACCCAAAAATGATGAGCGTGGAACACAAACCAAGTGTAGGAATCGCAAAGGAGCTCCAGCCACCCAGACTTCCTCTTCAGCTGCCAGTCCAAATAGGTTGAAACTGCAGCAGAACTACCCAGAGACACCCTAGGCAATTCTCCTGGACCTGCACAGAAGCCTGAAACGCTTACTTGGGAAAGAGTTTGGTGTTCGAAGTCACAGTCGACATGGCAGTGCCTGTGGTGACACGATCATCCGAATTAGCTGATTATCTTGAAAGTGTCCCGAGCAAATGATGATGAGGTATTATAAGATTCTCATGACATGCTTGTTCATCTGATTCAATAATGATTATCCTAGCTTCGCTCATAAGTAGTCATAACATCTAGAATGAGCATGAGCTGTGTCTGGTTTGTCCTCTATGATCATTTTTCCGTAATTCACTGTTCTTATTTTGCAGTTAAATATCCATCTTGAGCTTATCCCATTAGATAAACAACCGGCACCAAGTCTGAAAAAATGCCATATCTGCTGCAGCCAAAGCACGCCAGTTGAACACCTCTGTGAAGTCAGAACTCCTTTCATGTCATACAGAAAAAAAACTTCCATTCCACTATCCTTGTCAAAAGTAGAAATGAGACATATTTATATGGAGGCCTTAGTGACCTAAAACATGGAACTCTCTGCATTAGATGCAAGACAAATTCAAAACTTTCTGTGCTGCACAATCTTATTCCTGATGCAAGGATGGACACTTCTATCTTCTGATTCAGCTTTAATGTCTCTATCTGATGATACATGTTTGTTTTTAATGGTTATACCTCTAAATATCTTCAGAATAGGATTTGCTTCCATAGTATCTGCAGGCTGTTCATTTTTCCATTTTCCCTCAATGACCATTTTTGTAATGATATTCTTGAGTGCAGCTTATTGTTCAGTGGACAAAATCATAAGCCAAAGATGTTTAATTAGTGGCAGCAAAGGACAACAGTGTTGTTGGCAATGCACTGTTAACCATTCAACCTTAATGGATGCATCAAATATGCTAGCCCAGGTTATCAGTGGGTCCAAGGTTACTCTGCAAAGCTTGCAAAGGCGAGAAATTTTTTATGGAATCAATTCTAGTTGCCCATTACATAAAAATCTGACGAGTTGGAAATAAAATGAGGAATCAAGTTCTATTCTATTACAACAACAACATACCCAGTATATTACCACATGCGGGGTCTGGGTTAGGTAGTGTGTACGCCGTCTTACTCTTATCTTGTGCAGGTAGAGGGACTGTTTCCAAGAGACCCCTGGCTCAGGCCAAGTTCTATTATATTATCTTATAAAATTTATGTTTGTTGATGTTTCCATTTAAGTCCCATTTTTTGGTTGTTGTTTCAGATACTCGTTTACGTGCAAAAGAATTCTGAGGTATGATGATTATATAGTTACGTGAGTTTCTTGATTCGGGTTTGTAGAGGGATGAGGGCCGGGGAGAAAAGAAGATAGGGGTGTATGTTCACCGGAGAACATGTGGAGCCAATCATTAGGAATTGTTTTAGTTTTCTCTGAATAGCAGTAGTCCGCTACTTTCCAGTTCTGCAGATATCTATCCTTGCTTGTATAAAGAATTTTTTTTTTTTTTTTTTTCATTTTACACAAGTTTTTGGTTTGCTTACTTACAAGCATTGAGATGTGTTCGAACTCCTTAGAGCTACAGTAATTTATTCTAAGGAGAGTCTGAATTGATATATCTTCATGAGCACCAAGTCACAGAAACAGACACTAGATTTGTCCTTCTTCCAACTCTTCCCATTTTGTAATATTTTGTTTTTAAAACTCTCCCTTTCTTTTCTATTCAGTATACCAAGTAAAAAGAATGAAAAAGTAAAGAAAGATATACTTGTTCCCAGTGTTTGGAAAAGCGATCGCTTCGTCGCTTTAAGCGCGAAGCGACAAGGCATCGCTTTTCCCAGAGAGAGGGGACTCGGCCGTGTGAAGCGCACGCTTCAGTGGACAAAGCGATGAAGCGACAGAAGCGATAAAGCGATCGCTTCTGTTAAAAATCGCAGCTGGGCCCTTTTTTAAAAAAAAAAGATTGGGTCTGTTTGTATTGCTCAACAAAACAGAGAACCCTTCTCTCTTCTTCATCGACAAAACTAGGGTTTCCAGGTAATTTTTCTTCTTCTCATTTTTTTCTTTCTTCTTCTTGTTCCCGTCCAGCGTCTGCTCTTTTTTTCTTTCTGTTTCTTTCTTTCTTCCTTCTTCTTCTTCTCTTCTCTTTTTCTCGTCCAGGGCGGGCGCTGTATTCTTTCCTTCCCTCCCCCCTTTTATTCTTCTTAATTTTAATATGTATCTTAGTTTATAAAATTACTTATTATATATATGTGTTATATTTTTCAGTTTATTTGATTTTTTAATATGTATTTCAGTTTATAATATATATATATATATATATATATATATATATATATATATATATATATATATATATATATATATATATANGTATGTGTTTAAAAGTATATATATATATATGTGTATGTATGTATGTATGTATGTATGTATGTATGTATGTATTTTAAGAATTGCGCTTCACTTCAATGAAGCGTGTGCTTCGCTTTTGAAGCGAGGCGAGCTCCTGTTGCTTTTTTGCGCTTGGCGCTCTCAAAAACACTGCTTGTTCCCTTCCAATTTGTTTTATATGTTGACTATACAATGAAAATTTCTGTGTTGATCCTAGAAGTATATAATTTGGTTATAACAAAATTGAAGGCTGTTTTGGGAAGAGAGTAAAGGATGTGGTCCCGTGGCTTGCCTGTTGAGTGATTTACTTTCTGTTTTTCAAGCAAGACCGAATGCATTATGTTGTTGTATTAGGAGATATCTAGTTGTCATGACCGTTGGGGTTAATTTCAAAAGATAGAAGTAGAGGGAGTGAACAGTAATAACCGAAAATAACGGAAGGCCAGGATCAATTTGTTTTTAATGAGGCTCAACGACTAAGATCAAGCCAACCTAGTATAAGTAACAGAATTGACGAGGAGAGAGACATGCTAAAAATTCCGGTAATCTAACAACCTTCTCTCTCCTTCTTCTTCTCCTAAATTCTCTCACACTTTTTTCTTCTTCTTTGATCATTCTTCTTCCTTCTTCTACAGATTCGACTATCAATGGAGATTCCGATTACTTTCTGAATTCGTAGTTAGTTTAGTTCATTGTAATTCCTTTTCAGTTTTATTAATATACCGAAAATTGTCCCAAAATTATTGTTATTTTCATTTGTCTTTTTTTCTTAAATTCTGTTTGGAGTGGCTAAGGCCATAACAATTGGCATCAGAGCCTTTGATTCTGCGACTACTCGACTCCAATTATGGCGGAAGGAACGAGAATGAAGTTGATGGATGAGAAGTTGGCCCATCACGACGAGCTACTGATTGAATTGCGAGATGTCCAACAAGCTTTGCGTGATGTACAAGTTGGAATACAAGGCACTTTGGAGCAGTTATTAGATCGGTTGAGCACGATGGAGAGGAGGCCTAACAAAGGGCCTGAGTAGGTGCAAGGAATTGGGGATGGATTGCTTCCACTTCCAGTTCCTGATGTTCGACACCCTAGACCACAACAAGGAGTTGTTCCTAGTCCTAAATAGGAGCTACCCAGCTTTGATGGGACATGCCCTAAGGTATGGATTCGAAAATATGATAGGTTTAAATTTGTATAAAGTTCCTGAAGAACAGAAGGTGGATGGTGCCGCTCTATATATGAATGGAGATGCTGAGACTTGGTATAACTCCTTAGAATTGAGTAAAGGGAGAGTGTCCTGGGCTGAGTTCAAGGAGGAAGTATGTAACAGGTTTGGTGGTGTATTGATGAAAGACGTTGTGGAGGAGTTTAACAAACTGGAACAGACGGGTACTGTTGAGGAACTCCTAGTGAAGTTTGATGACCTAAAAGCACTGATGATAGTCAGGAATCCTGCATTGAACGAAGCTCATTTTCTGTCTAGTTTTTGGAGCTCTCAAAGAAGAGATTAGGTTCTCTGTGAAGCTCTTCAAACCAACCACACTGAGCTATGCCATACAACAGGCCAGAATGCAAGAAAAGGCCATTGAAGCTGCCCAAAAGAAGATTAAGGCTATGCCTAAATCTGGTACCAATACTGGAGTATCAACAAGTGTTAATGCTCAAAGGCTGGGAGGAGTGGCTGCTTCTAAGCCTAGTCCACTTAGACTTAGCCCTGAAATCTATGAATACAGGAAGTCTAACCACTTGTGTTTTGGGTGTGGAGAAAAGTACACACAAGGTCATAGATGTAAGATGAAGCAGCTGCAATGCATAGTGGGTACCACAGAGGAGTTACCTCAAGACAAACCTGAAGAACTGACTCAGTACCAAGATGAAGTGATTCCAGACATTGATATTGAGCTTGTAAAGGGGAGGATATACAGGAAGCTATATGCCTAAGTGCTCTCTCTGGGAACAGCAATAGGGTCAATACCATTTTGGTTAGTGATATCATTAAGAGGAGAACCTTATCAATACTGGTGGACTCAGGTAGTACCCATAGTTTTATTAATGAATTGACTGTTCAGGAGACAGGGTATCAGGTAACTTACACTACTCCAATCAGAGTAACTGTAGCTGATGGTAACTATATGTTTTGCAACACAACTTGCACTGATTTTACCTAGAAGATGGGAGAAAAGACATTCAAAGAGAATCTTAGGATTCTCAAGTTAGGAGGGTGTGACATTGTGCTAGGGAATTATTGGATAAAAAAGTATAACCCCACTAAATTTGATCATGAGAAGAGATGTGTGACCATTGGGAGAAAGGGTAACAAGGTAGTACTGCATGCTATTCCTGAAAATGGGCAACTAAGCTTAATCAGTGGGAGTACCATGGGTAAACTGTTGAGAAAGGGACAGACTATCATGGCTCACTTGTTCATGATAGAAATTGTGAGTGCACAAGAACATGAGACTGTGGATGCTGCAACCCTAGAATTGCTAGCCAGCTATTCAAATGTTTTCTTTGAGCCAAAATCCCTACCTCCTTGCAGATCATTGGACCACAACATTCCCCTCAAACCTGGAGTTTCTCCTATAAGTCTAAGGCCATACAGGTATAACTATNGCTCTTCCGATCTTAAGGCCATACAGGTATAACTATTTTCAAAAAGAAGAGCTGGAGAAGCAAGTTAAGGAGATGCTTACTAATGGGATAATACAACACAGTCAGTCCCCATTCTCTTCACCTGCACTGCTTGTGAAGAAAAAGGATGGAACGTGGAGGTTTTGTGTGGACTATAGGGGACTTAATGAGATCACTGTCAAAGATAAGTACCCCATTCCCATAGTAGATGATCTTCTTGATGAGTTACAAGGCTCAGTGATCTTTTCCAAGGTAGACTTAAGGGTCGGATACCACCAGATCAGAATGAAGATGGAGGACGTGTATAAGACTGCCTTCAGAACTCACTTGGGTCATTATGAGTTCAAGGTTATGCCCTTTGGGCTAACCAATGCTCCTGCCACCTTCCAAGGATTGATGAACCAAATATTCCAACCACTACTCAGAAGGTTTGTTTTGGTGTTTTTTAATGATATACTTTTGTATAGCAAGTCCTTAGAAGAGCATGTTGGCCACCTAAAGAGAGTGTTTGAAATTCTGATGGAGCAGATCTTGTTTGCCAAAAGATCTACGTGTTCATTTGGCCAACCAAAGATAGAGTATTTGGGGCATGTAATTACTGCTGAAGGGGTGACAACAGACCCAGCAAAATACAGGCTATGATAGAGTGGCCTAGACCCAATACTGTGAAAGCTCTCAGAGGTTTCCTTGGGTTAACCGGTTACTATAGAAAGTATGTGAGGAACTATGGTGCCATCTGCAAACCCCTCACTGATTTGCTCAAAAAGGATTCCTTTAACTGGGGTGAAGAAGCTGAGAAGGCCTTTAAAACCTTGAAGGTGGCCATGACTAACACTCTTGTACTAGCCTTACCTGATTATTCACAAGAGTTCATTGTTGAGACAGATGCCAGTCAGCCTGGGATAGGAGCTGTATTGATGCAAAGGGGAAAACAAATTGCTTATTTCAGCAAGGTCTTGGCTCATAGGCATAGAGGGAGGTCAATATAGGAGAAGGAATATATGGCTCTTCTGAGTGCTATTGACAAGTGGAGGCACTACCTTCAATACAAATACTTTATTGTGAGAACAGATCATCACTCACTCAAGTATCTTTTGGAACAAAAGGTAACTACAGCCATACAACAAAAAGGTTTGACCAAGTTGTTGGGGTTGGATTATGAAGTACAGTATAAAAAAGGGGGCTGAGAACAGGGTAGCAGGTGCCTTATCCAGGCAATTTGAAGGTAGAGAATGCAATAGTCACAATCAACCAAAAGCAGTCAACCTACTAGCTATCAGTACAACAGAACCCAAATAGATGCTTGAGTTCAGCCAGAGCTATGAAGGTGATGCCCAAGCTGGGGCCATAATTGCAGAAGTGACTACAGATCAACAAGGACCACACATCTATCAATATTCAGCTGGAATATTGAAGAAGAAGGGCAAACTCTATATTGGGAGCAGTG